GCCATCTGTTTGTTCTCGTTCTCGCTGTTCTATTCATATCGGTTAGAGTATTGGAGGATTGGTGTTGGTTTTGATTGTTCTCTAACACTCTAATCATATTCCAGTGTTGGCTGTCCTTTCTTGGATCCATTTTTTCGCAGAATTCTGCCATTTTTATTGTTTGCATATCCAAATTTCTTGTTCTATTTTGTGACTAATTTCAATGAGTTCCTTTCTGTTTTCTTCTGTTTTATTTTTTAAGAAGTTCATTGATATTGTCTCTCTCTGCAATCATTGCCTCGATGTTGTGGTCCTTCCAGTAAGGTATCCACAGGTCTTTACGTCTACCTCTAGGTATCGATGCTTTTGCAGCTTTTGAAATGTTCGAAGAGAATTTTTCAAGTTTTTGTCAAGCGTTCTGTAATTCAATTTTTCGTTGCACAGTTCTTCAAGCTTTTCTGTGAATTTTTTTCAAGTCGGCTTTCCTAAAGTTCCATGTTCTTTTATTCTAATGGACATTCTCAATTTTGAAGTTTAGGGTTGTTAAAATTGGTCTGTGGTCACTGATTGCACCTCTCAGGATTTTCCATTGTGTTGTGGGTGCGATGTTGTAATTTATCGCTGTGATGTCTATTGCGGATTCTGTGCCTGTGGACTTAGATAGGTAGGTGTTCTCACCGTTATTTAACGGTGTAAGGTCGAGGTCGGTTAGCATGTCCTCAACCTGCTGACTTTTGTTATCCTGGAAAGGTGATCCCCAAATTGAACTTTTGGCGTTAAATTCGTCGAGTATGATTGTGATATCCGAAGACGCTTCACTTAATGTCTCTATTGTGTGTACCCATACAAAATTCAAAGATTTCACGAGCTGAAAGTTGGAGATTTTGAGATGCGTCAAGAATTCGCTGCATGGGTTTTACGGCAAATTGATATTGATGAAAACTGGCTGTCGAATGTTCTGTGGACAGATGATGCTCACTTTTCTCTAAACGGAGAATTTAACATTCAAAACAGCCGCATTTGGGCAACAGAAAACCCTAGGATTTTTACAGAAATGCCACTTTACCAGCCTAGAGTTAGTTTTGTGTGGGTTCACTTCTTTTATTATTGGGCCATTTTTCTTTGAAAAATCAATGGAAGAACTTTTAAAACCGTTTTTGTAACTGGTGAACGTTATGTTCAACTTTTGAGAGAGAAAAGGGTATTCCCATATTGTGCAGGGCAAAAACACTAAGCGAAATAACATTCATGAAAGATGGAGGACCTCCTCATATCTCCCGAGGTGCCAAACAATTGCTGAAAGATACGTTCGGTGAAAATCGTATGCTAAGTCGCCACTTTATATACCAGTGGCCTCAAGATCACCAGACTTGACGCCTTGCGATTTTTGTCTATAGGGGTACATTAAATCGTGTGTTTATCGATGCTAGCCTACCACATTGGCCATGTTGAAGGCTTCTATCAGATGGCACATTTTATCAATTTCAACAGATATGTTATTTAATGCTGTCCATTCTGTCATTTATCGTCTCCAGGCGGTGATTGAGAATAAAGGGTGCCACATTGAGCAAGGATTGTGACCTAATACAAGAGATAAAGCAGTTACCTCATGTGTTAGATAAGCCGCCATGTATTATATTATCAACCAATATTTTGCAGCTCTTTGTGTTGGGATATGGGGATAATAAATGCTGCCTCATATCTTGACTATATTTTTTGTGAACAGTAATATTTTGTTTGTCATTTGCTCACATATTATGTCGTGCAAACCAGAGTGTTATAACTTCTCGAATAACACTGGTACACACAATTTTCCCCCTTATGTTTAGTTTTCGCTTTTCGCTCATTAAAAGAAATAGCATAAGAAATATTTTCTGTACACCAATAACTTTTGAAATTTTGTGAAAAAAAAAATACAAAATGATTTTACTACCACGTTTTTCAACGCAAAAGGTCGATTTAAAAATTATTTTTATTTGAGGGGACACATTTTTTAAAATTGTGTACAGTATAATAAACAATGATAACATTTGACAAGCCCATAGGATATTTGGAATAAAGTACGACAAATATATTTTGTCACTCCCCTCTATATTTCATTTGTTGGATCATGACAAATATCCAGTTAAATAGTCAAGGGTCGCCAATCAGTCAAGAAACTACACATTTCTTATATAGCAAAAAAATCCTATTAATAGTGCCATCATAATTTTTGGTACTATATTAACATTTCAAAAATTCGTGTATTGATATCAGCAGTGTTTTTCAAACATTCAATCTATTTCACAAAACCCCATATAAAATATACATATTTTTGCTACATGTTTTAATTTGCATTTACCTATTTTACATATCTCTGATTGTATTTGAAAATCGTTAACCAATTCTTCATACTTTTGGCGTAGTGGTGTTTTATTAATTTGTTATTTGATATTATTAGGATTCTTTCCTGGTATTCAAAAAGGTAAAATACGTGTCGATCAGTTATATTTTTCAATTTATCAAACAATCTGGCCGCTGAATCTCTGATTCTGGTAGAGCGCCATCTGGCGAATAAAATTGTAACTAAAATCAATTTCGAATTTTTCATTATTTGTCATAAAAAATCCCATTGCATCCTGATTACAATGGTGTTTACCGCATTGCTCTAGCGCAAATATTCGCGGAGTTATTAATTTTTAAAATAGTGCGGGACTTTTGGATCACCCTGTATATAAATTTATTATTCTCTTTTTAAAAAAGCACAGCACACTACATTACCTCACACTACGTAATTAAACTGAACTCTAAAATAAGCAAAACAAAGTGAAAATAAATTTGTATTAAATTTACGTTGATTTTTAGTTAGAAAGGGAATCCCCAAATTTTGATGGCATGGCGCAATCAAAAACAAAGGTGTTGCCATATTTTAGGGGAAAAAAAAATTAAAGACTCGAATCTAAAACAACGTAACTTCGAAAATCTAACGACGCACAATAAAAATCAGTAAAAATTAAGCAGCGACGCAACTTCGAAAAAAAAAAACGCAAAACGAAACGACGCAAAGCGAGGTATTGGTGTAATATGAAAACGGTCGGTGAAGATCCTGTCCGGAGACGGAAGTACGAAGACATTTCAGCCACTGTTATTCACGTAAAGCTAAAGTTTGATTATAGAAACATAGCGCCATGGATAGAATCACAATGCAAAGATGAATTCAGAACTTACATACTGGTGATTTTTATATTAATAATAAAGAAAGGCCAGGTAGACCAACCTCTGTAGTGACGGACCAAAATTTGGCTCTAACGGAGGAATGGATCAATAATAACCGGACAATGACGACATACCAAATATTGGAAAAACTGTCTGAAGAAGTACTCTAAAACTTAATAATGATCTTGAATATCGATAATTATGCTCTAAATGGGTGCTAAAACTTCTACTCGTGTACCTTTTGGATTATTTGTTTATAAGGTTTGAATCCCGGAAGATATGCGAACTGCCTCATCGAAATATTGAAAAAATTATGTTAAACAATTTTGATACAAATTGTTATTCAATGTAATCAAAATTGATTAATCTATTTTTAATAATATATATATTTATGATTTTTTAATATGTACTAATATATTTTGTGTCTTACTTAAAATAATAAATCATGCAGTCTAAATGCAACAAAATCATCATCAAAACTCTGTCAGTGCTTTTTATAATCAATATCACAAAGTGCTTAATATTTATATATTCCATCATTATTCTAAGGTCATTTAAAGGACCTCCAAATTTAGTGTATTACTCGGATTACTACCGCCATCTATATTTCCTATTTGTAACTAATTTCATATTTACCTTTTTTTTTTGTTCCTTTCAAAAACTTTTATTTAACTTTCTTCCATGTCTCTCTGTCCACAAATCTTGTTATCATTTTCAATATACTTACAGAGTACCTAGAAGTCTGGAATATGGTATATTTGCTCAAACTTGATGACAATGCAAATTTACAAAATTTCTGACTCCTGGGTCCTCAGAATTACACTATTTACTATTTTCACCTTCAAATTTGTGATCAATTTTTAATATACCTTTTGACTGAAATTATTATAAATGGTGTGTATTAATATGTAGAAAATATACATTTAAACAAATTCCTGCTTATATATACTTGAATCCATGCTCTATTTTCAAAATCCATTTTTGAAATAAAGCAAACATTTTCATTTTATCATCAATTCCATGAAAACCGTTCACCTTGGTACAAAGATGATCTAGTATTAAATATTCTTTTTCTTTTGATATTTCGAACACGAAGTTTCGATACCTCTGGAGAGAATAAATATATGAAAGGAGGTTATAAAACAATTCAAGGTAAAATTTGGTAAAAGGCATTGATATTATAAAACACTAGAAGCCCGTTCTACGAACAGGTCTAGAATGACAACCCAGTCCGAGCCTTATTAATGTTTTAACTTAATAAAATGGACAAGACACCACCACCACTTAATAAAACTAAAAATATATAAAATAGCGGATGTGTACCCGGCTTCGCCCGGGTTTTATCCGAGTGAAAGTTTGCCTAACGAATATTATATATTATGAAGTATAATAAACAATGCTAAAGATTAGTTTTAATTATTAATCAAGATTGTGTGTGAATATGTGAGAAAGATGTAATATCGTTGTTGTTTTCTTGGCCGACTGTTTTACATATGGTGTTATCTTAAAATTGCTTGTTTTGAATATTTTTTTAGATTGAGTTGAATGAATTGCTGAATTTTTTTTTGTATTTATATATAAATAAAATTAACTCTGTTGAATTTTTTTTGTATTTTATCGATAACAGCAAAGTTATGTATTTTAAAGTTAGGAAAAATATTTTGATGTTAAGCAAAACCTGCTCCATCTCGTTTTACATAAATGTTGAAAATTTGGTCGAAATTGATGCATTGTAACGAAAGTTTTTAGCGAACACCACTTATGAAATTTCCATTTATATAGAAGATATAATATAAATGAGTTTTAAAAATTGTTTTAAAAAAAAATGCATCGGCCGGGAATCGAACCCTGGCCGCCCGCGTGGCAGGCGAACATTCTACCACTAAACCACCGATGCTTTAAAAAAATCAAATTCATTTATCGTCGCGACCAGTGCTGCGCCCTAGCGGTAAAAGACTGGAACTAACGCTTTTTGGTTTTTTATTTTTTAAAAAAAGCACATTAACTTTTTTAGTTTTTTGAATAGCCTGTATGTTAAACGAAATCTTCAGCTACCTACATGCGAAATTCCATAATGATTGAGTCAGTAGATTTTGCGTGATGCGATAACAAACATCGATTTCGCATTTCATTTTTATATATATAAGGATTGTATCATATGATTAATTATATCATATTATTAAACATATACTTATTTTGGAATTTATTATGTAATATTAGCATATCCTACAATTTCAATTTGTTCTCTAATTTTTATATCCATTTGGCATTCTCTATGATGAAATATATATTCCATGTTAATTGAGACGCTGATTGGAATAGTGTCGACCACTCTATAAGTAGCAGTATACTTATTCATTATTATAGGAGTGGATATTTCGGCAAATTACAAAAAAAAAAATCATAAGACGCTGCAACCCTTTTTATTTACTTGAATAAAGGAAACTTTCGGGCAAACCTTTCTCCATTTTTAGTTAGCCGAAGAAGGGTTTGTCCGAAGATTTCCTTAATCAAGTCAATAAAATGTTCCGGCGTCTTGTAATTTTTTCTCCCAGTATAGTTATGTACAACACTGTGTATGTAGAAATGCTGCACAGGTAGTGATTTGGGTAGACTGAGGCAGTGATTCAAGGTGATGAGTCAGGGTGATACTTCCTTTGGAAGACATTGGTGTTGAAGAGTTTACAATATATAAAAGAGTATTTATATACAAGTATTCGAATATATATATATATATATATATATATATATATATATATATATACAAAGGAAGACATTCGTAATGGGATGGTGGTGCATGTCATAAAGGACGGGTATCACAGAAAAGGAAACACTTAAAATATAATCTACCTGTTTTTTTTTTTGTTGTTTGCAAGGTATCAAGTTATCTATTATTTGAAGTTATATTCATATTGTATGTTTGCGGGTGTCGGTAAATATTAAAATAAAGAGATGATTACGTTTCAACTTTTGACGAGTTAAAATTAAGATGGGAAAGGATATGCGCTAAAGTTTGTTATATTTTTATTAAATAAATGAAGTTGAGACGTAAGCTTCCCTTTATATAGTAAGTTAAAATTTAGAGTAGAATTAATTTACATCTGAAACTGAAGCAAAAACTTCGCTATAATCTGGTTTTTAGGGTAATGAAGCGGTGTACGTTAGCGTATATAGCGTTATATACGGTATAGACGCTATATGGGATTCGAACTAGAGAAAATAGTGGTGAAGTAGGTGAGATAATGCTGTAAATATGTTCAACTATATGTTCAATTAAAATCCATGGTTTTAATGCCGTGGACCTCAATTACATTAAGAATTGCATTTTTTTTAGTTTTAATTAGTATAGTTTTTTATTTCTGTTATTGTTTTGGAATGTTCTATATTTGTGCCATTGGTTTAGTGGTTGTAATTCTAAAGATATATTGGACTTTTGATAATATGTGTATAAATAATCTTTATTTCTTGTATAATTTATTGGTCTAAAATGTAAATTTAAATAACCTCACTCTCTCTATCTCTAAAATTATAAACAATTTGTATATATTTATAAATGACTGCGGCGTATAATTATAAAGCTATACAAACAGTTTAACCGCATAAGTTTCTTTTTTATTTATGAAAACACCATTTTTAATTTCAAAGAGAAATATTTAATATTTCTAACTTTTGGAACCCTTCCATACGTCATCCATTCATATATAGACCATCACTCTTCATATATTCAACCTTTTCATACGTCATCCAAAAGTTAGAAATATTAAATATTTCTCTTTGAAATTAAAAATGTTTTTTTCATAAATAAAAAAGAAACTTATGCGGTTCAACTGTTTGTATAGCTTTATAATTTGTATATATATTTTGAAACTATATACATAAAATAGATTAAACATTTACACGCAAATATTCACATAGGATATAGCGTGTGTTTGTTAAATAAATAAATAAATAATAAAATGGTTTGTATTAGAGACGGCAAAATATTATTTCTGAAAATGTTTGAAGCTTTTATTTAATTAATCTTTTTTTAATATATAAATAAGTTAAGGCACTCTGAACTAAATTTCTAAGCTAACAAAATTCCTTTTGGAGTATAAGATATTTCAATTACAACATGTAAAAATGTTAGAGAAGGTGTAGGAACAAATACTATCTAAATAAGAATAAATGTCTTTGTGATTAAAAGTTATAAGAACTCAGTTCACATTGTATTGGATTTATTGACAACAGAACCACCCAGGTTTTTTATAGATACATAATCAGAGATGCCCCTGCACACACAGTCTGAATGTGAACACGTGTTACACAGCATCTAGGGACTGATCAACCATATCAGATGAACGATATTGTCGTATCTAAGTCTTTATTGACTTCCACATTGTCCGGAGACAGAATTGGTGCCACATATAATCTCTCATATTAATAAAAAAAAAGTCTCTTGCCTAGGAATGTATAGTATATTTTGATAATAATTTCAATGATATTTCTGGTAGAAAGATATTAACTCCTTTTTCAAAATATTTTATTATACATATCTACAAGGTTTTTGATGGCAGGGAAGGCCAAGGAGAGATAATTCACCTATTTCTTCTTCTTCATGGCGTTGTCGGGCATAGGACCGCCTGCCGTCCCAGCGTTGCTGTTGCTGTTGGAGTTGGAATTGGAGTTATCGTTGCCGTTGCCGAGGGCTGGCGAGGCCAGGACCACCGCCGAGGCCAGGAGGACGCATAAGAAGAGGATCAGGAGCTTGCGCATGATGCCTGGACATGACGGTAAATACCACATACACTCATTGAAGACATCTTCTATATGTATACATCCAACCTTCTGATATTATCAGTGCTCTAATCTAAGAGTTCGTACTGGGCTGAAGAGATCTATTAGCCCGAAACCATGGTCTCCAAGTGGACGCTTCTCAGTTGTCCAAACCTGATGTTGTGGCTTTGTCACCGACCAGAGGCTACTAGCTTGCGGTGACGGTCAATAGATGACGTCTAGTTTTTGACGTTTATTTTGACGGGAGAGGTGACCTTTGCTTCTATAATCTAAGAGTTCTCTCCACATACCCCAATCCTTCACAATTCCTACATTTTCAGACATTTAAGAGACTGTCGTAATTGTCAAGATATATAGTTAGTTATCAAAGCTTAGCTACAAAGAGCATGAAAATCGGGAGAAAGTGGTATTTATTTAATGCAGTAATATCACTACCGCTATCACCAATAGCCGAGAAGACCGATATAGCCACATAGCCTTAATGGATCATACGCCACGTTAAGAGCCCTGAGTCAAGAAATGGGGTCGTTTACAAGTCAAAAATGGTCTGAACGACGAATCTGAACGCAGGAATGACGTGACGTCGTGTTTCAAACGAATCCAGGTTCTGTTTGCATAACTACGATGTGTTTGGAGCCATTGTTACGAAGGCACATTGCCAGCGTGCATTGACACTACTGGCCCATCACCTGGAGTGATGGTATGAGGTACAATTTGATGCACGTCTCGGTCACCTCTTGTTCACATTCCCGGCACTATGACCAGTACCCGTTACATTTATGATGTGTTGAGGCCTCTGGAAGTACCCTTTTTTTAGAGAACTCGGAAACATTACGTTTCGGCAGGATAATGCTTGACCGCATGTTATCGGTATTGTGCGGACAAAATATAGGGCCAGCACCTTCTCCTGATCTGTCACCAATAGAAAACGTCTAGTGAATGGTTTACAAGCTATTTGTTGTCACTACACTCCAGTCATTACTGTCGATGAATTGTGCAATCGTGTTAAAATTGTATGGGAAGCTCTACCTGTTCATGCCATCCACTATCTATTTGACACAACGAACAGTGGTATAAGTGTCGCTATTGCTGCCAGAGGGGGTTCTTCTAGGTACTGATTTCTCAGGATCTATGCTTCCAATTTCTTGAAAATTTAACTAATTATTATTCTCCCAATATAATGTATTTGTCTAATAACTGTTATTTTGTTATTTGCATTTCTTCTATATGTAGCAATTTTAATGTGGCCAGTAATATTAATAAACCTTAATTAGAAAATGTTTAAAAAATAGTGTATTATTCAAAGTATTTTAGAAATTATTAAAGCAAAATTATATATAAATAATTTTAATCAGTTCCAACACTTTATCTTAATTCCAAATTATATTAATGTTAAACCATGTTTTCGACTGTAAAAGGACGTTCGTGCCCGAAAGCTAGAGAATCAAATAATTTGGAAATTTTTTTTTTCTCTGGAGGCCTGATATAGATTTCTCAATATTGATACAAGGGATTGTTTAATTGAATAGCAATAATATATTGGTGAATATATTACTGAGAATATTTCGATCATTTCAAGAAAACATTTAAGTTTTCAACTATGAATATATAAGAAACTCAGGAAATATTAAAAAGATCCAAATAAGGAGCGCTACAGTAACCTACCTGAACGTGGTCTTACGTCACCAACAGACATCTACCATTTTGTTGCGCCTTTATAAAGGTGCTGAATTTGATCGTCTGCTCTATATTTAGTCTTTCTATGATTGGTGATGGTATCGTTTTCATGGAAACCTTATTGCCTCTCCAAGTTTCTACATAATGTGCAACTTCAAAACTCCCCCAATTCAAGGCTAGAAAGGCTTTAAAAATATATTTTGCTATTTTTATAACTTGAATAACATATTAAAATGTATCTTATAGAATTTTATTTTCTGAAAACTTTAATTGTTTTAGAAATGATATATGATGCATTAGCGCGCCATCTGTTATGAAAATTCGACACTATTAACTATTTAAAAAGTATCATACGCGCCTATAATAGTTTCGAATTTTTCATAGAAATGATTTGTTTGGTTAAATTTGCAAGAAACAACTTCCTTTGTTTGGAAATATCTGTGG